TCTAATTCGCACACATGTTAATCTGTTTCCTTTGGTATTCAGCTTCGTGTTTTCACTATTTACCGCTGAAGTTTTCTGTTAAGTCTGGTGTGCATACATCTATGTAATGCTTTATAAATCAATCAGTCTGTACTTCTCTCTTTCTCTATCTGTATCTATGTCTCTCTCTCTGTGTCTCTGTCTCTGTCTCTCTTTCTCTCTCTCTCTCTCTCTGTCTCTATCTCTCTTTCTCTCTCTCTGTCTCTATCTCTCTTTCTCTCTCTCTGTCTCTCATTCTCTCTCTCTGTCTCTCATTCTCTCTCTCTCTCACTCTCTCTTTCTCTCTCTCTCTCTCTCTCTCTCTCTCTCTCTCTCTTTCTCTATCTATCTATTTATATATAAATATCTTTCTATCTATCCATTTATATATCTCTCCCTCCCACTCCTTCCTTCCGTCCCTTTCCCACACTTCCTTCACCCTCTCAGCCCCCCCCCCCTCCCTCCTCCCTCCTCCCTCCTTCCCTCCCTCTCTCTTTCCAATAAGATAGAAATATGAGGCTGGAAAATTATTGCACGTAATGGAGAGAAGTAATAACCCCCCCCCCCCTTCCACTCCCCTTCCTCTTACTCCCTCCTTCGCTAATGATAAAAAAGGAAGAGAAGGAGAATTATGACTTCATTTTGTCCCAATATTAACTTAGGTGATGGAAAGACTTCCTTTTTTTTATCCATTAATGGGATATTAGCCGAAGTCGCGCCGGACTAAATCAACATTCTTATTTCAGGAGTTAATCGTCTCGCTTTTTATTGTTTTATTCGTTGATTCGTCTCTAAATTTATTATTCTTATTATTTACTGTGATTTATTTGTTTATTTACCTATCTATCTATTTACTTTAGAGGGAGAATGCAGCAGAAAGGGAAATATATGAGCATGTTAATGGTAAAGGATAAACTCATATGAAAGAAAATGGGCATTATATCCATTTTCTTTTTGTGAATCATACACTATACATGCGTGTGTGTGTGTGTGTGTGTGTGTGTCTGTGTGTGTGTGTGCGTGCGTGTGCGCGTGTGCGTGCATGCGTGTGTGCATTGAACCATGGGATTTAACCCACTATACATACCATGTCCACAATGTGTTTTCATCTTTGTACTTAGTCATCAAGGGGCTGATTACTAGTTCTACCCATCTCACCTACTTAACATTTTCTTTGATTTTCAACAATATTTTTATTGATATTATAGTTGATAATGTTATAATAATCATAAATTAAAATGACTGGGGAAATCAAGCGATTGACTTGTGGAGCCATCTGTGCGCAACAAAATTCACAAAAAAATCCTTAATTGTATTTCATTCGCACAGATGTCTCTAGTATGTTACTCATTGATCGTCAATTTAGGAACAACCATGCTTATGGAAAGCTGCTTGAGAGCCAGGCACTTTGACGTAAATAAACCTGTCTTCACTGGTCCACTGTAAAATATGTGTGTGTTTATATATATATATATATATATATATATATATATATATATATATATATATATATATATATATATGTACATTTATATATATACACAAATAGATAAATAATAATAAAAGAAAAATTAATATACATATATATTTTTATACATATGTGTGTTTGTACATTAAGATTATATGTCAACTTATGATAATTTCCTTACCTGTTGCAGTGTAGCATCTTTCTCACTCCGGGCACGTAACTGAGTGAAGGCAGGAAAGTAGTGTGAAATGAAAAAAAGAAATAAAAAAAAAGATATTTGTGTGAGAGGGAAAGAGAGAGAGAGACAGACAGACAGACAGACGATCTGCCACACAATACTTTCCTTAATTCTTTTTTTTTTTTCTCAAGATTTCTAAACTAATCAGGATAAATACTTTAGTCCTGTAACCTCCAGGAGCCAAGAATAACTAGCGAAGCCGAACCCAAAACGAACACAGTGGATGATGAGACGAAGATCCCAAACATGTTATCCGAACAGGATGTTTTTCTTCCGCTTTTTTTGACAAGTTTATCTTATTTTTTCACCGGAATCCCACGCCATCCTCAATCCCTCTATCTTCCAAACTACCCCCCCCACCCCCCTCAACATTTTTTTTTTTTTTTTTCAAACTACTCCTTACCGTACATAACGTTTTTTTTGTTTTGTTTTGTTTTGTTTATTTTTTATTTTCTATATTTTTTTCTGGGGGGGGGAGGGGGACGGTTCCATTCACCAGTTTTTCTATTAAATCCATCCTCCGCCGCTATTGCCCCCCCTATCCCCCGCCCACTCACGCACCCACACACACAAAGCTGTCCTCTCTCTCTCTCTCTCTCTCTCTCTCTCTCTCTCTCTCTCTCTCTCTCTCTCTCTCTCTCTCTCTCTCTCTCTCTCTCTCTCTCTCTCTCTCCCTCTCCCCTCTCTCTCTCTCTCTCTTTCTTTCTCTCTCTCTCTCTCTCTCTCTCTCTCTCTCTCTCTTTCTCTCTCTCTCTCTCTCTCTCTCTCTCTCTCTCTCTCTCTCTCTCTCTCTCTCTCTCTCTCTCTCTCTCTCTCTCTTCTCTCTCTCTCTCTCTTCTCTCTCTCTCTCTCTCTCTCTCTCTCTCTCTCTCTCTCTCTCTCTCTCTCTCTCTCTCTCTCTCTCTCTCTCTCTCTCTCTCTCTCTCTCTCTCTCTCTCTCTCTCTCTCTCTCTCTCTCTCTCTCTCTCTCTCTCTCTCTCTCTCTCTCTCTCTCTCTCTCTTTCTCTCTCTCTCTCTCTCTCTCTCTCTCTCTCTCTCTCTCTCTCTCTCTCTCTCTCTCTCTCTCTCTCCTCTCTCTCTCTTTCTGTCTCTCCCTCTCTCTCCCTCTCTCTCTCAACTATATATTTCTCTCTCTCTCTCTCTCTCTCTCTCTCTCTCTCTCTCTCTCTCTCTCTCTCTCTCTCTCTCTCTCTCTCTCTCTCTCTCTCTCTCTTTCTCTCTCTCTCTCTCTCTCTCTCTCCTCTCTCTCTCTCTCTCTCTCTCTCTCTTCTCTCTCTCTCTCTCTCTCCCCTCTCTCTCTCTTTTCTCTCTCTCTCTCTCTCTCTCTCTCTCTCTCTCTCTCTCCCTCTCTCTCTCTTTCTGTCTCTCCCTCTCTCTCCCTCTCTCTCTCAACTATATATTTCTCTCTCTCTCTCTTTCTCTCTCTCTCTTTCTCTCTCTCTCTCTTTCTCTCTCTCTCTCTTTCTCTCTCTCTCTCTCTCTCTCTCTCTCTCTCTCTCTCTCTCTCTCTCTCTCTCTCTCTCTCTCTCTCTCTCTCTCTCTCTCTCTCTCCCCCTCTCTCTCTTTTTCTCTCTCTCCCTCTCTCTCCCTCTCTCTCTCTCAACTATATATTTCTCTCTCTCTCTCTCTCTCTCTCTCTCTCTCTCTCTCTCTCTTCTCTCTCTCTCTCT